TAACAAAATAACCGTTTTTATAACGGTTATAGCACTTGTTCGAAAAGTATTGCCCTAAGTTCAAACGCAACGCAGCGAAAACAAAATGTCCTCCTCCAATACGGATGTGCCCCGTATTATGGTCTTTCGACCAACTTGGGAAGAATTCAAAAATTTTCCCAAATACGTGGCCTTCATGGAATCTCAGGGCGCACACAAAGCTGGTTTGGCGAAAGTGGTGCCACCACCAGAATGGGTACCACGTCGAAGTGGTTATGAGGATTTGGATGCGCTCAAAATTACTATACCGGCGCCGATTTGTCAGGTTGTCACCGGCAAACAGGGTCTCTACCAACAAATCAATATACAAAAGAAGCCGCTCACAGTGAAGCAATTCAGTGAGCTAGCATCCACGGAGCGCTATCAAACGCCCAAACATTTTGATTATGAAGATCTCGAGCGTAAATATTGGAAAAATATTACGTATGTGGCGCCGATCTATGGTGCGGATGTTAGTGGTAGCATCACAGATACGGATCAGGATGTAAGTATGCTTAAAAAATTAATAATAATTTGGATCTACTTTTCAACTCATACACAAATGTATGCCACTCACTTATACTCCAAAGAGCTGGAATATAAATCGCCTTGGCACAATTCTCGACTTTGTCAACGAAGATTATGGCATACAAATTGATGGTGTGAATACAGCGTATTTATATTTTGGCATGTGGAAGACCACATTCGCCTGGCATACTGAAGATATGGATCTCTATTCAATAAACTATTTGCACTTTGGNTCTCGACTTTGTCAACGAAGATTATGGCATACAAATTGATGGTGTGAATACAGCGTATTTATATTTTGGCATGTGGAAGACCACATTCGCCTGGCATACTGAAGATATGGATCTCTATTCAATAAACTATTTGCACTTTGGCGCACCGAAAACGTGGTATGTCGTGCCACCCGAACACGGTCGCAAATTGGAGAAGGTCGCGAATCAATACTTTCCAGCGAGCTATCAAAATTGCAATGCTTATTTACGGCATAAAATGACATTGATAAGCCCGCAAGTGTTGAAGCAGCACGATGTGCCAGTGAGTAAAGTAAGTGATTTCGCGTGAGATTTTGTTTTTGGTAAAAAACTGGCTTAACTGGAGAAAGGGTGAAAGTGAAAAATTTCATATGTTAAAAAAGTATTTTACTTGAAATATTGATGGAAGTGAAAAAATTTAGATGAATTCAA